TTCTTTTTAAGAAAAAAAATATTAATGAACGTTTAGAATAGTGAACATAATTGTCTTCACGGCCTGTCTAAATCGATTCGGCTAGGCAATCCTCCAACCAGCATTATGTACCTGGTCAAACTCTATTTCATATTTCAGGATTTCATCATCAGCTGACATCGGTTAGAGAACCATTGGAAACCAGCGGGGAGTACCCGACAGCTGTTTCGTCCTAGTTTGGAACTCTTCATCAGTACTCACACCACAGAGGTTCGGACCCAGCACCTTCCGGTTACAAGGCGAGCTAGCTCGTAGACCATCAAACCACTGGGACCCGATCCAATGGCCAGTCCATGAATCCCAACTTCTGTCAATTCACGATATAGTGCGACCACTAGCCAATGTCATTGGTGGCAAGTATTTGTCTTCATACGGGACCTGCTGTACCCCACTGGTCACGACTTCTCACTAGTACCCAGCTATCTACCTGAATGGGGCCAGTTACTAGGGCGCATCAGATTGATATTTAAGTGTTGGTTTGCAGAGATTTGATTGGTTTCAAGATTTCATATTGTTTCAATCACTCAATGGAATCCTTGACTTGCAATCTGTATTCGCTAGCTTCCATAGATAACTCCCGAGGTAGATGAAGCAAAATATTGTTGCTGGGGGATTAGACTGGGCTTCAGAAAGAGCAATACTGCATCAAATGATATACAGTCAATTTATTATTTCGATAGAAACTGCTGTACAGTAAATATTTTTTTAAACAAAGCATTCTAGTAATTCTATAGTATATATAAACATATTTGCTCAGAATAATTCTTTTGATGTTAATATTGTTAGTATTGTATTTGGCGATTATCCATTTTCTTTTAACCTAACCATATGTGAATGTAAATTAGATTGCGAGACAGGCAATTAGTTCGGGTTGAAAACTTTTCCAGTAACTTTGCTTTAGTTTACCGAAAATATACAGTTGATAAGGAATAGTGTCCAATTTACTATTCGATCATATTTGATGAGTACTACTGTGAAATTACTCGGCGTAAAATCTCATATCTCACTCATGCTATTTATTTCAAAAAGTTATTCTATCTTATTTCCATATACATCTCTGTAGTATTCTCTCTCTCAGACAGTTATTTGTATGTCAGGCTTCTCAATATTTGCGAGTTTTATTCATTCCTGTCTTTGCTTATCATGTATGTAGCCACTAATCTAATATCTTTTTATGTCTACTAAAGTAGACAGTGTTTCCAAACTGTTGAGGATATGACTTTATGCATACTTCTCCCTATCACTTCAAATCACTGCATTGTCTCCTGCTGAGACAGATTTCTGTCTCTACACCATTAAGTGATAGATAATGCATACAATCTCTCATAAGTAATACTATTTGTTAAGCTCTTCATTTGCGAAAATTGAATTCCAGCTTTATTCTTTTTTTCATCTCTTTTTCTTAGCCTTATTATAAGACTGCAAAGGTGTCAATTTGTTTTAAACTACTAAATTCTATGCAACAACTGTTTATCAAAGTATTGTATTGTACTGCTGACATAATTATTACAAAATAATTCTAATGTGCCTTAAACACACACATAGACTATGTGTGTGTGTACATGTGTGCCTGATTAGTGTTCACTTTGTGTGAAAGCATTCTGATTTCTCAGCATGTGGTTGTGGTGGTATTTTTCTTCATTTGAAACATTTTAATTTTTTTTTTATCCTTCAACAGGCAGTAGAAAGAAACATCATTTATGCAAACAAGATAATTATTCATCAATAATAATAATTTGTCCACATCAGGTCGTTGATATATATTGGTGGTAGCCTTGCCTTATGCGCATACTTATCTTTCATAGTTTTTTTATTGGTTTACCTTTTGTGAATTATTGTTGTTGTTACCTTAACATCCAGGGTGAAATATGTTCATTTTGGTGTGTGTATTAATATTTGTACATGAGATTGAACAGTGAATTGACTTTGTTTAAAAAGAAGCAATACTCTAACCTATGATGAATAATGAATGGTTCAATACTTTTGAACATGTAATTTGTGGATATTCTACTTCATGGTAGATAAATTCACAAACTAGCTGATATAGGAGAGAGCTAGTGGATGGTCAAACCAAAACTTGTAATCAATCCATGAAATTTTTCACAGTTAGTTCGGACTACTCAAGGGGGAGTAGAATGTTTGGTTAAGGTCTTCGGGATTCCAAGAACAAATAGCTAGAGACAATCGGTGATATGCCTGGAGATTGTTCTCAATGGTACAGATTCATTCACTCCTTGTTACCAGACATATCCATCAAACCCTATTGTTTTTCGAAGTAACTACTATCTCTCTTTTTTCTCTCTGTTTTCTTCCTTTGTTTTCTACATCGAGTCTGGTAACTCGAAGTACTGTACTTCTGTGCAAAGTTCCACGTTGAAACCAGTCAGTCAGTCAAATTAACAAACACTTTATAATTGATTTATTGGCACTGTGGTAGAGTATAACTCCATTATGGATAAGATTTTATCTTGATAGGTCACACAGTGTTACACAGTAATATTAACTGATTACGTTTCGAGCACAAATTATTGCTCATAATCATATCAAGTTACTCACGCAACTTTTTTCTTTCATTTATATTATTAGTATTAGTTTTGTTAATTTCACTAATTAGGACTGACAAAAAGAGTATAACGCATATATATATATATATTATTTTCATGAGTTGGTTTGTAAGGATTGGATTTGTTTTTCTGCGGGTTGGACCACCGTTTGATATCAATTAGAGAACCATTGAAAACCAGGGAGCATTAGATAGTGGGTGCGTACTGCCGATGATTATCAAACTAGGATGAAGCAGCTGTCCAGTACCTCCTGCTTGCTTTCAATGGTTCTCTAACTGATATCAATCCGTGGTCAGACTCGTATTATATATATATATATATATATATATACATACATATATATGTACGTATTTGTTAGCCAAACCAACTGAAACAAATAAGTGACCAGTAGGGTGCAGCTGGTTGGGTGTGAGGACAAATACTCGCCGAAGACATTAGCTAGGGGTCGCGCTATGTCGTGAATTGGCAGAAGTTAGAATTCATGGACCATTGGATCGGGTCCCAGTGGCTTAATGATATACGAGCGCACCTTGTAAACCAGAAGGTCCTGAGTTCGAATCCCGGTGGGTGCGTACTGATGAAGGGTCCCAAACCAGGACGAAACAGCTGTCCAGTACTCCCAGGTTTTCCAACGGTTCTCTAACTGATGTCACCTCATGATGAAAATCCTGTAACCAATCAAATCCCTACAAACCAACACTCAAATAATTTCTGTTAAATCAGACTGATATGTGATGTTCCTCAGGTATAGGAAAAGGTCGGAAAATTGGAATTCTGTTAAAATAAAGGACAAGGACTTACTGTAAGTTCAGAAGTTGGCAGATGTTGAAGAGTAAAAAAACTTTAAACCAGTGCAGTAGAGTTTGAAACCTATTACCTACGTGTTTTTCTAAAAAAAGAGTGCGAAAGTCTTAATCAAACCATCAATATGTCTTGAATCACTAATGAACTTGTCTGCAAACTAAAGTAAATTTATTTATCATCAAATCGGTCTTTTGTAAACTTCTTGACATAAGAGAAATTTTTATTCATTGTGGTAAATTTATACGTCGTTTCAACAGCTGCTTATTTACTTAAACTACTGGATTGTGACTTTATAAAAGTTTTATGGAAATCTATGAAAGAATACAACCGTATTTCTCCGGCTATATAGTTTTGTTTTTGTAGGAAAAGCATTTAGAAGAAAAAAGTATGTCTTGTTATACAACTCTCTGTGTTAACATTTATGTGTGTATGTCATTCTCTTCAAAGTCGTGAATACTTTTATCTTTCACTTGCTTACGATTTTCATTCTTCACTCATTGTATTCTTCTTTGGTTAACTTATTTTGTGATGGTTAGTCATGTGGCTTGTTATTTACTTATCTGTTTGTGGTTTAGTAAATTTAATGTTGCGTAAAACATTGTTACATAACAGTTGACAGCCTTTCATTGAATTTCATAAGTAACCAATCAGTTAAACAGAATAATTCTCTATTTAATTGAATTTTAGATTTTCCCATCGATTGATTGGACCGAAGTACTCGGTCTCAGGTTGACATATCGGTTTCTTGTGCAGATGCTTCGACAATGTCTGGGCATGTAATTAGAATCTAATTGGTGGATGGTGACTAGCAGTGGAATCCAAGATGCGCATTTCGTCCCATTTGGGAATCTTCAGTGGGTGTACTTGCATTCCGTAATGAATGATGATGTTCCCACCGAGGCTGTAACCCAGTGCCCATAGTTTCAATCGCCAAAGCGTTATCCACTAGACCCCTTGGGCCACGAGAACCACCACTTGTGCAACGGGTCATATTAATTAGTCAATCGACGGCAAAATCTAAAATTCAATTAAATAATTAATATGACCCGTTGCACAAGTGGTGGCTCTCGTGTCCCAAGTGGTCTAGTGGATAACGCTTTGGCGTTCGAAACTATGAGCACTGGGTTCCAACCTCGATGGGAACATCATCACTCACTGCGGAATGCAGGCACATCCAGCAGGTGAGTTCCAAATAGGACGAAATGCTCATCGTGGATTCCACTGCTAGTCACCATCCACCAATTAACTTCTAAGAATAATTCTCTATTGGTCTCAGAAACATCTTCCACCTCTAAATTATTTGTATTGTTATTTAGGAAAACAATTTAAAATTTACGTCTCTCGACACGTAGATCTCTTTGCATCGTGTCAATGGAAGATTAAGATGAGAAGCTAAAATAGACAAACCGTTTTATTTGTAGAATTTATTACTTGAATGAAGTTACAGCTTATGTGTGTAAATATTATTTACCATAGTTCTGTTAATTATATAACGTTAAATTAAGTCATCTATTAGCAGTTTAGTTTTTTATAAAAACTTTTTGCCCTGAGTTTACCCATTATTACTATTGCTATTACTGTTATTTTCTTTAGTGATCAGAATACACCGTTACCTTTGGAGTTGCCAATGACTCAGGCTGTACAAACGGCTATCATTCCAACACGTGCTGATATTGATCCAGACATATTTTCTACAATGACTTCTTTACAATGCTTTCGTGATCAAGAAAGATTAGTTGAAGAATTATTATCTCCAGTGTAAGTGCATATATTTTCTATTTTTAACTACTCTTATTATTTGTTTAGTCAGTATATAATTTTTGCCTCAGTTTATACTGTAATAATAACTACTGTGTTTTCAAATGGCTTAAAATAAAAATCACTAAATATTTAATCCCAGTGATGATGGGATAATAGAAATCAGGCAGATACAATTGCCTTAAGACATTTATGTCGAATTTATTTTGCCAAAAATTCACTTTCCTCATTCTTTTTCTATCTTTAAAATCTCATGTGAATTATTGTAATTAATTAATTCACTTACATATTTTTTTAAATATCGTAATTGGTTATTTCCTCTTTTTCGCTTGAAATTATTTATCCGCCATTTTTGCTTCTTTATCTTCCCGAAGAAAAAGCCTATACATTTCTGCAAACAAGCATCAATAATGTTCATGTCATTCATTATAAGTCTATAACTTCATTTTTCTCCTTCTGTTTTTCTATATAAAGTCATTTATATTTTTTCTTGAAACTGATTGCATATTTATTTGAAGGTACTAGTTAAGTGGTGACTTGTAGTACAATCAAGCATACGCATCACGACGACTTATTCAGGGACTATCCAATTGGAAGTCCCTGCATTTCACTAGGTGAGATTGCATTTCTTTTTCCCGTTGAAATTAAGTGTCAGAAAGTTGTCAAATGAGATACTGAACTAACTAGCATCCCACTGTTAGCTATCATCAAATAAACAAATTCAAGTTAGAAATCAAAGAAACAGTAAGGTAGGTATCCTTTCAAACAGCCAAAAATGCCTATCATTTCGATTTAGAACGAAATAGTATCAAAGCTGATTGATGTTTGTTGACCAGTGATGTCGTGTGAACGAAGTTAAAACTTTTAAATTACTTATATGCTTCAAAATGCAATTTATCTTTGAATCAAAGCTTATTGATACCATTGTAACGGTAAAATGTATCTCTGTATAGCCGAATTATGTACACCTTGTCTTCAAATCACCATTTGCACAGATCTTCCATGTTGTGTCTACTTCTGGCCTTCATATTGCGTGTGTTTCTGTGTTCCTTTCAAGTCTTTCATGTATCTTCGCAACGCTGTATCATTTGCTTTCTCTGAAATCAAATGTATCTCCCTTCTATTTGATGTTTTTCTGCCAATGAACGTCTCTTTATATACTACTGATAAATCATATCAGTAGCACACGCTACACTATGAATAAAGTTAAAATATTTTGCGTAAAGCTGGAAAACAATCTATTTAAATTGTGAAAAATCCCCATCAAGACATTAGAGAGGAAAGAACAAGTAGTTCAGCAAAGACAAACCACAGAAAGGATATCTTTGTTGAAGCTCTTGTTCCTTTCAATCCATTCAAAACACAATTGTCTTCATAGAATAAAAAAATAGGCCTTGAATTCCTTCAACCACAAGATTACACTATGCAAACTGTGCTTTTGAGCAATTACTTTAAGGGACACTAATAAATTTCTAAGCTTTTTTGTGTGACAAGTTGATTAAATTGGGAAGTTTATAGGAGGTATATATCTGCTGGGTAATCTTTGGTTTAGTATCATGCAAGTAATTATAAAGACATTAAAATTTGAAACTTTGATGCTACTTTCCCTTATCTGACCTGCTAAAATATGGTCAACTCATGACAGTAAATCTCTCGCCTAATTCATGTTAATCATCAAGTGAGGCAGTGCGTCAGTGGTGCATTGGTAGGGTGCTCGCCAACCACTCGTGTGGTTTGGGGTTCGATCACCGGCTGACGCACTCCTAAACCTCGCTCAGCCTGCATTAAGCCCCGTAAAGAAGGAAGGTTGGATGTGAGACTTGCAACTGCACCAAGTAAAAATAAAACTACTGCTACTGAAACGTGAGGCTTTGTGCTCCACTCAGAAAGCAAAGAAACAAAATAATGATGATCAACTACGGCACGGATTTTACGTGTGTATCGCTAACATTCCGTAAAGTGTTTCCAGTGACTAATATCAGACCAATTGTCATAATCTTTAACATTTAATTTTATTTACCTTATGTGTTCATTTATTTTTTGGCTGAAAGTAATAAATTTCGGTATTATTCTACTTTTCTTTGTGTTCCATTTTTCTTTATTATATACACAATCTTTATAACCTTTAACTTGTTGCTGGTATATATATATATATTCTGCGATTGTTAGAAAGATGAAATTATATTGACCGGTGAAGTTGATGGGAATTCTGAAGTAAAGCATATTGTTAAGCAAGTTGTTTGCATCGACTTTAGCCTGTATGCATGTTGGGACAATGATTATTCTTTAAGAAAATACTTTTGCATCACTTTGATAATTAGCTATTACTAGAGTTAGGTTATCTATGGTAATTGTACACACTACGCTGATTTGATTACATAATGTTTTTTTATTGTAATTCTGTAATTATAAACTGTAGTATTTCTTGAATATATATAAGAATAGAATTTAGCTACTGTGGTAGGGTATAACTCTATAACAGAATAATTTTATTTCATGTAAAATACGTAGTTTTATTTTTCATTCTTTGTGTTCTGAGTGGAATATAGGTTTTCAGGCTTTGAAGTTTCAGTAGCGATGATGTTGCTAGCCTGACACTCAACGTTCCTTCTTTTCCGGCTTTATTATCGGCTTGTAAGATTAGATGAGGTTTAGAAGTGCGTCGATCGGGAAGTTAACTGGGATTACATGCGTGGTTGGCGAGCAGTCCCTACTATTGGACTACCGACACACTGTAATACATACGTTATTTAAAACAATTAGTTCCCTTTATGTATTTAGATAAAGCAATAAGAAGACGTAATTTGTCTGAATCGTGTAATGTATTTGCGCAACACATTTCGAACAATCTGATCACACACGGACTTGTCATAGGAATATATATGAAATTAATAGAGAGGTAAGAGGTGAGAAAATAGACTTAGGTCAAGTTAAAAGGACATACTGAAGGTCAAAATAACAATGAAGATCACTAAACCAAATAACAGAGGTAATAGTACATCTGCTATGGTATCAAAACAAAATTTACCAAGGAAGCTGGTTTAATGTGATGACGAATTGTTTTTGAACGCATAAAGGTGGTTTAAACTTTATAATTGCTAGGGCTTCCACAAACTTTAGGATACGCCCAAAACACGTTTTATAGATAGGTTTAAAAGATCTATTAACCATTAATGTCGTTCATAGGACTAATTCATTCATTCAGTATAATGTATATATAATTGTAGAGCCTGATGATGAAGTTATCGAAAAGAGTACTCTTTGTTCAGTATCCATTCTTTTGAAAATTTCAATGGGCATTTTTAATCAGTTAAAAATGGTTATATTTAAAGACCTAATGAATTGAGAATTTCTCTTATGAGCATACGCACATACGATAGAGAAGTACTCAGTGAATACATTTATTTAAAACTAAGAATAATAATCAGACAAAAATAAAGGGCACGCATGTCACTTAGTTCAATAGGTTCTTCCTCTTCTTTTTTCTTTATTAAAATTTGATATTAAAAGCAACAGACTATTGTGCAAACTGATTCTATTCACTTCAGAAAGCCACATCTTATGTCCATATATATCCCTGTGGTATCCTCATTCTTGGACACCTGCTTGTATATCTTTATCTGATACTTTCATGCATTTAATCATCTTACGGTATCAATATTTTAATGAGTCTTTAGTTCAGAGATAGAATGCCCACCAACCATTTGAGGAAGTCTGAGTTTGACTCCCGGTCGACTCATTTCTAAAACGCGCCTGCCCGGTAATAAGTTCGGAAAAAGAAAGACAGCTTAACGTGAAGCTAGCAACCCTACCCCCACCCTATCATTACTGAAACTTCAAATCTTGAAGTCCCACTCGCAACGCAAATCGATGATAAAAAAGAGCACATATATAAGGTAGCAGAAGATTTAAAACTTCGGAACTTCTCCATTTTGTTTACAAAGGAATAAGCGTGTTTTTAGGAGAAATTTTTTTTAAAATGGTAGTCAAATGTCAAGTTGAATAAAATACTGAATAACAAATTTGGAAAAAAAACCGGTACACTTACCTTCCTCAGTAGTAAAATGGATCGGATAAAATAGTTTATTCTTACAAAACCAATAACAGATTGATAAAAATCCATAGTTACTATAATTTTTCTTTGTTGTTGTTGTTGAATAAATATGCTTGTCACGCAAACATATGGTAACTCGAATGATATCAAGTATGATTTCTCAGTTTAAACTCAATAGAATATTTAAATGTTATTGTAAAAAGGAGAATTTGTTTTCAAAAAGAAAACTATATTGATTGTTAGTTTTTTATGTGGAAAAAAAACGTATTGATTGATTTTTCCCGTTAGGAATTTCGTCAAAAAAGAAATCTAAAACAATATCAAAAGTCTGAATTAATTTCATATTAGAAAATTGAATGAAATAAATTGATAAGTTGATATTTTGCAATATCTTTGTGCTTATAAAATCAATAACTGATTGTAGGAAGTCCAATATATAGATGCAGGGTGTTTCGCATATATTAAATAAAGTGTCTAGTAAGAAGTTTTGTTTCATTGTTAACTTAATTTGCCAATCAATATTAACTAATTTAAAATGCCCATTAAATTTATTTTCGCCGAAGAATAGTTACTCAACAAAGAATATTCCTTTCGATAACCCCTTCTTCATCAGGTTCTACAGTAACATATACATGTTAGTGGACGAATTAGTGTTATTAACAACATTAATGTTGTTTAAATAACATCGAATCAATAATAATAATAACAATGGATCATAGTTCGATAGCATCAACATAACAATACACTGAATGAATATCAGAGAGATTAGGAAAGATAATAGTACAAATTCATGAATTTATAGTCTCCACTGAAGGCTGGCCAGGGCAGTATAGTGGTGGGCGGACTTGCTTCTTCTGCACACAGAACACCAGTTGTTTAAGGTGAATCGCGACAGCCTCAGCTGTTTGGAATATACGGTACCTGGCTTTAATTCATTCACTATTGTGTATATATAACTATAGAACCTGATGATGAAGTTATTGAACCATTCTTTTGAGAGAAAAAATCAATATTAGTTAGAGAACGATTCGAATACTAGATAATTTGGATAGCGTTGTTATTAGAAGATTGAGTTTATCTGAGAGGGAAAAAGTGATGCCTTTGAGGAATACATTTTGAGCAATTTGATCACACACTTATTTGTCAAGTCAATTTATATGAAAAATTGTAGGCTAATTAAAACAGACAAAGTGATAGGGGATTTAAGAGCTAGGAGGATAATAATTACTAAAGTAGGTTAAGCGTGTAATAATAAATTGTTTTGTACACACAGTGGTGAGGCGGATGTATGCCTAATTTTACGGATAGCTATCATCTGAGTGTATTTCATTATGCACCCTTAACCGTTCTTATAGATCATCCTGGCACTGTTTTGATACCAATCTGGTGATTCATTTGAATTAAGTGTTTTTCTAGAGGCGAAGTTTGTAATCTGCTAACTGCGTTTGTTTAACTTTCACAGTTGAATTTTTTTCAAGTCTTTTTGTGATATGTTTACCCTACCCATGTACAAAGCGTGATTACTCCTTCCTATGCATGTATGACGTCATACATAGTTATAGTTCGCGACTTTTCAGAAGTGTACATTAACGCCTTGTCAGTCAGGTGGTTAGAGCTTCACTATTACATTACTGGGCAAACACTACCATTCAGATATGTTCAATGTTCTTTGGCTTAAAAGTCTATTGTATTTCATGATGTCATAGAATTCCTTGAAGTGCAAATCGCCCATACTACAAAAATGAAACAACTGTCACCAAGCTATTTGAAGTATTAGTAGACATATTTCAGACAGAAGTCTACATCACATACTCTCCGTTTTCTTTGGTTATAACTTATCATTTGTTCAAGTTCACAAGTTTTGCCTGGGAAGTAATTCAATGAAACCAACAGATCACTCAAAAAGGAATCATAGTGTAAAGTAATGAGATATCCGAACTTTATAGGAAGCATATCTCATCCCGTATCCAATCACTGATTTCTTACAGTTAGCAAACATTTATATCATACGTATTCCAGTATCAGTTGTTAAAACTATGAGTTGCTTTCTTATACTCTTCCAGTCAAACATAATCTTTTTCCCTTAGTAAGCATTGTATTTCATCAGAGATGGAAACTCACTGTGTGTTAACTTCAGTTAAAAATACCTTAGTCGAATAAGCTTACTCTATTTTTAAATGATGAATTACATCACTCATATTTCAGATTATTTTTGTACTCTTCTGCCTTCCTTTTTAGTCATAATACTGAAAAGGTAATATATTTTCTTCTGTTGGATCGTAAACTTCGCAATCCAAGCTCAGATGATCCAGATGAAATTCGATCTAGGAGCAGTACTCGTAAGTTGATCATAAAAAGAAATACAAACCAAATTTTGTCTATGTGCATGCATTTATTACTCATTTGTTAGCTCACACACACATACACACGTACACCATCACACTATAATTTTATAATCGATTTTATTTCCAAGGATGCTATTTTCTAGCTATCTTAATTATGAAGAACATGAGCAATTTATACTTGAATTATGACACTACCACTGTCCTTTTGTCTCTCCCTCTCTGCTTTTCCTCTGCTTTTGACAATTATCTGTTTGTTTTAACTTAATGGATGTTTGGACATTTATGTGTACTGTATTATGATGAAATCAAATCATTTGAATGTCTATCTATCTAAAACTGACTAAAAATAGTAGATATCTATTATATATTGATGTGTAACTAAATCAGAAATTATATTTGTGAGTCAAATTATCAGTATTCATTCAAATCCCTGAAAACTGACGCTTGAATATCAATTTGAAGCTCACTAGTGACTAGCTCTATTCAGGTGGATAGTTAGCTGGGTACTAGTAAGAAGTCGTGACCAGTGGGGTACAGCAGGTCCCGTATGAGGACAAATACTTGCCACCAATGACATTGGCTAGTGGTCACGATATATCGTGAATTGACAGAAGTTGGGATTCATGGACTGGCCATTGGATCAGGTCCCAGTGGATTAATTTTCTATGAGTTAGCTCGCTTTGTAACCGGAAGGTGCTGGGTCCGACCCCCTATGGTGTGAGTACTGATGAAGAGTTCCAAACTAGGACGAAACATCTGTCCAGTACTCTCAGCTGGTTTCCAATGGTCCTCTGACCGATGTCAGTTCATTATGAAATTCTGTAACCAATCAAATCAAATCCCTACAAACCGACACTTGAAAATTCACTTATATGTTTTCTACAGTTTTGAAAAACAGAAATTAATCGAGAGATTTCTTCAGTAAGATTCTCTGAGGTATTCGTAGATTAGCAGATTGATGCTGGTGTTATTTGTGGTGGTGAAGACGAGATGGACACCTAGTCCAAGATAGGTATTCAAACCAGCAACAGAGTCCTCTGTCACTCGGTTTATGAACGGAGAAGTAATACAGTTGTACAAGTGATTTTTTAAAATAATTTTATCTCCTTAAGTGTTGTCATCTTAAGAAATCTTTTTGATTGAATTCCCTGTTGGAAGTGAAACCACTAACATTTCTCTGGGAATTTTATCTTAGATGAAATGAGAAACAAAGGAAACAGAATAAAAAAATCAATATCTATCTGAACCAAATTTATGTATGAGCTCTTTTTAAATTATGTGTATTATATAAAGGCAGGTGGGTTAGTCTCCAATGGTTTCGTAAGTGAATGATCAAACAAAACGAAGTTAGATCCCTTTTCACTGATATTTTGCATAAGTTTATTAAAACAACGGTTAACTGAGATTTATATATAATATTAAAGATCGCATACATGAAATCGATAACTGGATCATGCTTCCAACACAGTTTATTGCTCATAGCCACAACAGTGTACTCACGCGACTTGATAACTTGCTTTATACAATTTTACTGCCCGCTATTTCTCGATTACAATTTTTTGTATATCCGGGATAGGTGTTATATCATGCCGATTAGGCGTGTTCACTGTTGGTTCGAGTGAATGAATTGTAATGACCGATTTTTTTCCCAGATCACCTAATTTGTTACAGTCAGTCGACCTACCTCTAGCTAAATTCCTGTGTTCCGATAATATATTTGATGTATGTCTACTAGTTCAACCTGTGTAATTGACCTCACAGTCGTTAAGCAAAACCTAACTTTGTTGATTTTAGATGGGATGATTGAAAATGTATATATCTATAAGAATGTGACTATCTTCAGTAGATACCAGTATCTAGTCCATCATCTTGTGTTCGTTTTATTTTGTAGTCTAGCACAGTCGACTCACTTTGTTTATTTTCTACATTGAAGGTGAGTTGGATCCCACCTACTATTGAATTTATACGTGTGAAGAACTTGGGAATATGTTCTAATTTCAACACAATGGTTGTATCATCTACATATTTGCACCATAACTTAGAAGCGGGATTAAACTTTCTAAGAGCCTTACGCTCCCAAATATTCATGAATAATATATCTGCTAGTGTTGCGGATATTGGTGATTAAATTGTCATCCCATTTGTTTGTTTTGAAATCTGAATATAATGGATGTCAGACATAACTGAACACCTAATAAATATTATTTCCTTGACAGAGACCTTGGTTTTGTTGGCAAGTTCGGGGTCAGTATCGATCTCATTTCCCACTGCTTCCAGTTAATCACCGAATCTTTGTACATTGAATCACTGCCAAACACCTATAATTGACATGACACAACACCTATCCCGGATGTGTAAAATTTCAATAAACATCAATGACTAGGGCTATATAAAGTTCTGTGAGTAAACTGATATGATTATGAGCAGTAAATTGCTTTCAAAACGTTATCCAGTTAAAATGTGTCTCTGTGTGCCATATCAAGTGAACTTATCTTGTATGGAATTAAATGCTTTTATTATATATTATTATTCCCTTGGGTTCCGTGTGAAACATGGGGTTTTAACAGCACATCTCCACTTTGTTCTATTTTCTGCTGTCCTCTTCAGCTGGGTTCACGATTGCCCATAATATCTTATATCCTCCTCCTCAACAAGATCTCCTCTATGTCACCCTCGCGCCGACGACCCACTCGTCGCTTCCACTGGGATTCCACTCGAGCGATGGCCTGCATTCAGCGCGATGTTATGCGACGGCCTCCTCAATGTATGTTCAATCCACCTCCGTTTTCTTCTGCACATTTGTTGAGCAATCGGCTCTTGCTCGGTTGATTTGTTCCCGGAGTTTCTTGTTGCTGATTCTTTCTGGTCGTTCGGTCTTCAATATAGAGTGAAGGCAGCTGTTGATAAAAGTCTTAATCAGCCTGTTGGAAATGCTTTTTGTGATGCACCAAGTTTCTGACCCATATATAAGCACCCACTGACTTTATATTTTGTGTTGAAAATCCAAATCCTATTGTTTATATTGAGTGTAGAAGATTTTCAAACAGGTCACCTTTCCGATTCTAGCTAGCTTTGACATCTTTATCCGTTCCGCCTGTGGTTGAAACAATGCTTACTGCCCAGATAAGCGAAGGAAGTAACCTCCATCAAATCTCTCCCTTTGATGGTGATTGGTGCTGGTTGTTGTTGTTGCTGCTGATGGTTGGTTATCTTCATCACCTCCGTCTTCTCCATGTTCACCTGCAGTCCTGTCTTTGCCGCCTGCCCTTTCAGTCAGTTTGTTGATTTTCGCCTGCCTGTAAGTCTTCGAGTTTGTGTGACATTAAACATAAATCATCTGTGAAATCCAGATCTTCTAGAGTCTTCTTATCGGTGGTCCAACGTATTCCTGTCTTCTTGCTCCCCACGCACTGTGTTCCGCATAATCCAGTCCACTAGAATTAAGGATATGCTACTACAATGCCGAGATTCTACTCTTACATTAGAAATGATATTTTAAAATGATATGCCTCATGGAACAACTCTCTGCTGCTGCTGCTGGATTCAACATAGAACTTGGCACCGAAGTGCAGCAGTTAGAGTTGCCACGTTCCAAATAGCACACAAATGTAGACAGGTTAAGGAGAGAAGAGAATCAATAGAATTTAGATAAGTATAAGAGTGAAACAGAATGAGTAATGGTAGAAAGGAATATGAAGGTTAAAGAGACTGAATACATCTGCGCCATTGACAACGATTTTGAGCCATGTCACCTATTGTCTCCAGCCATTGATTCTTAGAGTCCCGAGGGTGGGCCCCAACCCGGAAGTCTGCATCTCCCTACCTGACTCAGTTTAACTGTCAGGGATTTCATGGATTGATGCCATGTTTTTGTTTGGCCACCGCTTACTCTTTTCCAACCTGCACCTATATCAGCTAGTAATGCCCTTCGAGGGAGACGATGGTTAGGCATGCGCAGCACGTGGCCTAGCCATCTCAATCTATGTAACTCTCAACTAGAATGAAACCACAATTAGTCATCAGGAATATTGATTTAATTTTTTTGTCTATTGAAATATCTATTAAAACGAATGAATCGCTTAGAGCTGTGGTTTTGTTATAAATCTCAATGTGCACTTCCGGAGCATTCTTTTCAAAACATTTCACAAATTAGAAGTAGTTTCACTACTTAAATTTGAGCTATTAAAATATTAATTAGATTAACACTAAATTGGCTGGTATATTCAAATTACCGTGTTAAGGTGATACAAGTGAATTTGTATTAGCTCGGTTGTAACTTACTTCAGAGTATTGCGTATTCACTTTGCCCGGATTTTTGTGAATTTATCAGTTTGGAGATGTATGAACTTTGATACTAAAGATTTCGTTTAATATTTAATCTAATGAAGGAACTGACAGCGAATAAAATAAAGATACTAACAATAATCACTTTGATTTTATTTCTTTTGCCAGTTTTACTTGGATAACCTTAAATCTTTTTGTTTTTACATGGTTGGAGGCAATCAGCAGGAAGCCTTGGACTTAGGTTTCATCCTTGCTTGCACTCACCAGTTAGCAAGGCGTATCTGCAGTTTTGAAGGATATCATGTCCTTTGTGAAATTCGAACCCGTTTCACCCAGTGCTTCAGTCAGAGACGTTATCACTGAGCTATCTAGGCTCACGACTGACCTCCTGTAAGATTGTATTAGATACTTTGATTGAACACTTAGCAGGGGTAACGCCTTTGACTGATGCACTGGGTGAAACGGGTTCGAATCTCACAAAGAAACATGATTTCCTTCAAGATTGCAGATACGCCTTGCTGACTGGTGAGTGCCAACAAGCACGAAACCTAGGTCGAAGATTTCTTCCCGATCGGCTCACCTTGATGGTGAGCCATGTAGCATGATGGCCATATTGCAAACTCGACTGATAGAATTCAGTCACCACCAAGCAAAAGACTCGACGTATGACACTAGCTACGAACTACCTAGTGTTCAGTCGAAGTCTTCTT